TGCCACACAGACCCTGCACCCTCACCTCTCTCCCCGGCAGCCCCCTCCTGAACATTGTGAACATTGAACCCTTCGTATATGGCCCCACCCCAGAGCCAAGGGGGGCCCACAAAATCAACTAGTCCCAACTCCCCAGAAGCATTAATCCAGCCTTGCTCTTGGGCAGTTTCCATGAGAAAATCTAGTCAGAGAAACAGATAACAAGAAAAATGTGTGTAGTGCCCTAGAATGGCTAAAGCTTTTTTGTCCTGCTCTCCAGTATTGCGTAAAGGAACAGCATCGCAGCCAAAACACAGTCAAGTGGATGTTCACACGCCACATTTAGTTCAACAAGCCCTCTCGGCATTGGCATACAACGTGCTTTATGTCCACTAGAAAGGAGCCCTGGGAAGGAGCCAGGATTCAAACATCCCCGACTTGAGGATAATCAGGACTCAGATCAAGACGTTCTAGTTGATTCTTAAAAAACAAAAACCCTGGATCTAAAGTGCAGGGAATTTAAAACTGTGAATGTAAGCTTCAGATCCAAATTGTGAGGCCTGGCTGAACTCCAGGGTACCCACGCCCACAACTCACATGCTTGCCTGCCTGTGTTTTCCTTTCTTGTTCCATTGTTTAATAGTGTTTGTCAATTTTCCTTTGTTCGGAAGTTTGGCTGTGGATGCAGACCCCTCCCCCTCTAGTAAACATAAACTAAGAACGTAAGAACGGCCATATTGGGTCAGACCAAAGGTCCATCTAGCCCAGTATCCTGTCTGCCGACAGTGGCCAATACCAGATGCCCCAGAGGGAGGGAACACAACCTCCCCTATCACCCATTTCCAGACAAACAGAGGCTAGGAACACCATTCCTGCCTATTCTGGCTAATAGCCATTGATGGATCTAACCTCCATGAATCTATCTAGCTCATTTTTTAACCATGTGAAAGTCCTAGCCTTCACCACATCCTCTGGCAAGGAGTTCCACAGGTTGACTGTGCACGGAGTGAAGAAAAACTTCCTTTTATTTGTTTTAAATGATTCCACCTTGCTTCCCGCTCAGTCATACCAGTGTAAGTAACTTCCTGTTCTTCTGAGAAGAACATGTCAAATATGTCTCCAAACTTGGAGTGGAGAGTTTTGCTTTGGTTTTATCTAGTGATAGGCTAAGGTGCTGGAGATGGATCTGTACTAGATTTAGGATGGGTTTTAGGTCACATTGATTCTAAAATCAGATGTGGGTTTGGTTTTTTGAGGTCACTGGGCTAACGTAAGAAGTTCTCATGAAATGTCTGCCTCCTTGAGTTGACACCTTATCCGTATGGCTGCTCTTGCAAAATTTCAGCCGCATCTGAATCCATGCACCTAACAGATCCCATCTGGTTTTGGATCTCACCCAGAACCAAATTTCTAGGGTTAGATCCAAACCTATATATTCAACTCTTCCTCTCAGCAGAATTTGAAGTGGTTTTGATTTAAGAATCTGATTTGGGGGCTTCTTTATTTCAAATCCTGAGTCACCATTTCCAGCATTTGATGTCCCATATTGCATTGTGTTCACTAGTAAATTACCACTATCCCAATAGCTCCTAGAGAGTATCAAACTATCATGCACACACAAATTCTGCCTATCGGCAAGGTTCTGGTGAGCAATCTTAACATTTAAACTAAGTCTCAGCTCAGGATGTTGTTATCTATATCATGTAGAACTCTATGTAACACTTTGGCACTCTTCATATCCCCATGGCAGATTCTTGCACAACAACAAAATTTCCAGAATTCAGCCAGGAACTTTCTTTCAACTGGAATCCCTCAAACGGCTGTAAGTAGACACCGTACCTGCTAAGAAGAATGGTTTTGTTTTTTATCATGTGGCTAGGACTTAGAGGCCAGTCTGACTGGGTACAAATTCCAATTAATGTAGCTCTGGGGCAACAGTTTTGTCTGTTGGTAGCCAGACACGAGGGAAGACTTAACCATTTAGTGCAGGGGGTGGGATCATCTGGATTCTACGTATGGCCCATGTGCAGGGTTGACAGAATCTGCTGGTTTCTGTCCACGTAGGTTTTTTCCTTCCGGTATTTCTAATGTGCCACATACATAAAGCCAGAGCCCATGAAGGGAGGTGCGTGCTGAGTGCACACAACATTGTGAGAGCCAGGCACTCCCTTTGCAGCCAGTCAAAGTGCTGCTACGGTTCAATCAGCACAGCCTGCAAATTCTAGGTACGCAGGCGCAATTAGCAAAACTGCCCTATCCCAGGAGGCTGGTTACAACCATTGAGTGGCTGACTGAGATAAAGAAGGGCCACTCATGCAGCCCAATCACTAGCCTCTGTTGCCCAGTGCTGGGTTAGTGAGATCTTCACTTTGGTGACTGAATTTGCTCTTGGACCTTCTGCACAATGATGCAGCTGAGGGGTTTCTCTTAGGCTGTGTCTAGACTACATGCCTCTGTCGGCAGAGGCATGTAGATTAGGGTTGTAGGCAAAGGCAAATGAAGCCGCGATTTAAATGATCGCGGCTTCATTTACATTTACATGGCTGCCGCGCTGAGCCGACAAACAGCTGATCA